TCCTTCACTTGACATATGGTTGACTTAGAGAAATGCAGTCATGTCAAATACTGTGGCCCACATATAGCAGAGGACATAGTTGAGGTAGAGGAGGAAGCCTAAATGCAAAAAGTTTGATTGAGAAGTTATCCAGGAGAAAAGATTTTTGAGAAGCTTGAATTTCTTTCTCTTGTGATCATAGAAGAATCTGTCCTGTGTTTTGTGCTTTCAACTAGTCTAGTCTCCTGCTTTTCCTCCAGTAATGTCTCTGTACATGCAAATTAACAACAAAACACTCCCCTTGCCTTGTGAGTGTCGATATTATCTGACAGCTCTTCCATAATTTTTAAAGATTTTTTTTAGTTGTTAGTGAAATTCCCATTTATTCATATGTGTTGCTGAGGATCAAACCCATGGCCTCATACATGGAAGGCAATCCCTCTACCACTAGTCTATAACTCCAGCCCCTCTTTATATGCAGGAATTTTTTGTACATTTCTGGAGACCACTAGGTCAACCCATTGTAATACATTAATATCACAAGTAAGTTACTCTAAACTTACTTGTACATTTTTTTCACTAAAATTTCCTTATCAGAGTTCTTTCTGATATGTGTAATGGAGTTTTTGTGAAATTATCTGCCATGGAATGAAAGTCAAGATGGACAAAGACTGCTCTTTTGAGAGATGGTTTAAGTAGTATTTGAATAAGAGCATTTGTAAAATAACATCTGTGTATATTGATAATTTGATTGGTTAATTTTTTCCTTATTTTTTCATTGTGTACAGTAGATTCCGTGTTGCAGACTGGGTTTCCCCATATCAGTTCATTGCTTCACAAATTAAGATATGCATGACTCTTGTTTGTATTGCCAATAATGTTATATGTGCTTTTGCTTGTATAAATATTAAGCCTCTTTTTGTCTATGACTTTTATATTTGATCTTGATTGTCTTTTAATCTGCCCATGTACGTAGAAATTGAAATTTTCTATATGTAAATGTAATGGGGATTGATGGCAGTGATACTCTAATGCTGAACTACACCCCAAGCTCCTTTTCACTCATATTTGGAGAGAGGTTCTCACTAAGTTATTGAGGATGTCTTGAATTTGCAATTCTCCTGCCTCAGACTTCCTAGTAGCTGAGATTACAAGCATGCCCATCATTTGTATATTGATGAGTTTGTTCTTATTTATAAGATAATGACCACATTATTTTCAATGAAGGTTTGAGAAAAGTTGCAAATCTCTTTTATGTATTGTTTGTAATTTTCATTATGATCAAAACTACAAAATAAAACTTACTGTCTCCAAGAATTTAAATATACAGTTCCGTAACATTAATTCAAATTGTTATGCAATATATCTCTAAAAAGTTTAGATCTCAAAAAAAAAAAAAAAACTATGCCTAGGAAGCAAGGATTCATTTCTGTCTCCTCATCACAAAACCATTCTTTTGTTCAGAAAGCTGCTACTTTAGTTTAGAGATGTCATACTTGTAGAATTCTGCAGTATTCTTTCTGTGACATTTCAGTTAACCTAGTGTGTATACATTTTGTAAAATATATAATTAGAATAAATTCTTTGACTTCAAAGTTCTATAGTTTCTATATTCCACATTGGCTCATTGTTCTTTTCAAGGGATATTTGTTTTGAATCCCCCATGATGGCTCTATTGAATAACAATGTCAAAACACTGGTGTGCAATGTTATTAATTTGCTATTGATATGAAGGTTATTGTCACACTCACTAAGAAGTCCGTCTCTCTAACTCCATGTCTGCATTTACAGACATGTTGTAAATTTACAGACCTGTTGTAAATTTACAGACATGTTGTAAATTTTACTATATTTTGAAGCAGGGAAATACTCTTATTTGTACTTTGAGTGATATTCATACAATTTAAAGCTTAGATTTCTCTGCAAAAAAAAAAAATATTTTTAACAACGGGAGTCTGATGCATATTACCTGGAGTCTCTAGTTAACTTTAAGTAGTATAAACATCTTTGAAATTTATCTTTCAATTCTTGAACAACAATATGCCCAAGAGTGTTCAATCAACTGACACATATTTAGGGATTTTTGAACATCCCTATCACTTTTGACTTCAAATTTTTATTCCATGTTGGTTACAAAATAACTATCACTTAAATATTTATTAACCTTTGTTTTAATACATAAAATTGGTCTATCCAGCATAATATCCCACTTGTGATTAAGAATAGGGATTCTATAAGTCTACAGTAGTTTCAAATATTTTCAAAGTCTTATGCTTTGCAATTACCATTTTGCTTCACTCTATTTCCCTTTTCAGTAAGTGGGGATTGATGTCTCCTAGGATGACAGTGATTCTTGGTTTTCATTCAACTCTCTCAATGTTTTCTTTGTGTGTTTGGGAAGTAGGATATATGTTGCAAATGTATTTACTCTTAATTCAGAACCTGGGGAAATGTTCCTTTTCTTTATTTTGCTTCTTTTCGAAGTCTTTTTAAAATTTAAAACGATTTCTATGTCCTAATACTGTCTTAAACTATGTTTTGTGTACTATAATTTAGACTGCTCAGGTTTTTTTGGTCACTTTTGTATGTGTCATGCTTGTATCCCTTTGCTTTCAGTATGTGTGTGTCCTTAGATTTAGAATATACTGTGGACTACCTAGAGTTATAATTTTTAGAGTTAATTCAGATAGCCAAGGTTTGTTTTCATCAGAATTATGTAATCTTGAATTTGCCAATAAAAATATCTAAAAATGAAGAATCTCCTACTCATACTTTGTATGAGGATCAACTTGACTTCACTTTTTAAAAAGTCAATATATTTGTGGCTTTTCAAAACTATTATTGTTACAGGTTTATATGCCTATTAACAGTTTTGCTTTTATGCTTTTGCCTTTCAAATTCTATTTCAAAATTTTTGTGTCCCATTATTACAATAAAATCAATTTTTTGAACCAAGAAATGTTTAGAATTTCATATGACTTATGTTCTGTGCACACTTATATTTCAGTATGAAGGATCACGTTTCATACTTTTCGGGGAACAGATCTAGTGTTGATAAATAGTGTGTGCATTTATATCTTTAAAGTCTATATTTTCCTTCTCTTTTGAAAGATAGTAGCTGTGAATATAATGTTTTGGTTGATAATTGTATCCTTCCATCCCTTGAAAATAGCCCCAAATACCATTCTGTGTTGTGAAGTTTTGACTAAGGATTTTACAATTATGTAGTTACATATTTCTAGGTGACCCAACTTTTTCTCTTGGATGCTCTGAATATTGTCTGTAAGTTTTAAAACTTGGATTAAAACCTGCTTTGAGTCTTTACAACTTTGAGCTGTTTTGGATGTTTTATTTTTCTTATATTCTGAGATGCATTTATTAGTACTGGAAAGAGAACTACCACTTTACATTTTTTACCTTGGCTGGCCTTGAAATTTTGATCCTTCTGGCTCAAGCTCCTATGTTGCTATGTACAGCCACCTGTGACTCTTTCAGACATTTTCTAAAGAAAGACTTTAAAAACACATTTTCTGCTTATTACTATTAACAATTCTTGACTAAATTTAATTCCATTTTTGTGTGTGTTGGTTTAATTCAGTCAACTTCTTTTAAATGATAATTTACTATTCCCTTTGAGTAATTCATAACGTATTTTCTTACAGTAAATTTAGCCATGATTTTTTCTGTTGGTAAGCAGGAACCCCTTTTTGAACAGTCCCCAAATATTTGCATATTTCATATTTTTTCTTTTTTAATGAAACAGAAGAAAGTCGGTAGATTTTTAAAATATATTCTGAAGGAGGAAAGGCTTTGTGTAACACAGTGTATTTTCCTCTACTATATTACTCTACAGAGGAATGTACTCATCTTGGATACTGTGAGCACTAAGATGATTTGGAAAGTTCTCAAAGTAATTTTCTGTGTAAATTTTTATTTGATTTATATGTTTCTGTATTAACAATGGGCTTAGATTTAATAACCTACTCCCCTGATGATGTTCCTTTATTGCTGTAATTTCTTATGTTTGCAAAAAATACTCAGCCCAGTACAGTAAGTAAACATGATTATCATTTTTATTTCAGCCATGACTTCTCATCACCCTGAAGAAACTTTTCCAGAGCAGGGAATACAAGAGAGAGAGGGAAGATATGGAAATTATGACATTAACCATTTACAACTAAGAAAACAATGGGAAAATATAGGTGAGAGTAAAGTTCAAAAATCGTATTATAGTGGTCAAAACCAATTAGTAGTCCCTATTTACGATAAAAATTTTATGGTCAAATGACAGCAGAAACAATTAATATCTGAAAAAAATTCAATTTATTTCACTTACTTCTGAGGAGCTGTGTGTCTGTAAGAATATATCCACAGCCATTTTTGAAGTGAAAAGAATTGTGGAAAATTTGAAATCTGGTCCATGCATCAGTTTTTAACTTGGCCAATTAAAAATGTAGCACCGAGGTAAACTTCCATTCAAACATTTGCAAGAGAAGACATTTTTAAAAGTGATAATTTGAGAATTTCTTTACAAAATGTCCATATTTCTGCAACAATACAGTAATTTCTCCTTGTGCCCAAATAGACAATATTAAGAATTGCAGAAATGTTTCTAATTCCCCACTATTGCTCAATGACAATTCTGATACAGACTTTTGGAAAGTGCACTATATAGATAATGCTATAAGTAACACCATTAGCCACGTCTCTACCCTGAGTAATTACCATTATATTTCCATTGGTGAGAAAAATTATGAATATAGAGGAACCCCTAGGCATTTTCTAAAGGAAATATACCAAGATGAAAAATGTGGGAAAGTTTGCTTCAGTCGAGACAAAACTTGCAAGTGTAAGGTATATGAAAGGGTTCTTTATCACAGTGCAGAGCTTGCTCAATACAAGATAATTTATAGAGAAAGAGAGCCCTATATGTTTAAAGAATATATCAAAGCATCAGCTTTCTCTACATCTTCTAAACACAGTAGATACTATGACAGTGATAAACCCTATAAATTTAAAGAATGCAAAAAAAAACTTTTAGTGAAAGGTTACAACTTGTTGAGCATCAGAGGATTTATACTGAACTAAAGACCTGTAAATGTAAAAAGTGTGGCAAAGACTTAAAAAATTTTCAACTCTTACTCAACACCAGAAAATTTATTCTGCAGCGAAGACCTACCAATGTGAAGAATGCAATGCACTCAAGAACTTTACTCAACATCACAGTGTTCATACAGGAGATGTGCAATGCAAATGCAAGGAATGTGAGAAAACTTCTAATAAAATCTCCAATCTTATTTGTCACCAGTGGACACACCCTGGAGAGATGCCCCACATACATAAACAATTTTGTGAATCTTTTAGTAAAAAAGCAAGCCGAAAAAATCACCAGAGAATTCATACAGGAGAGAAGCACTACAAATGTAAAGTCTGTGGCAAGAGTTTTAATACAAACTCAGACCTCAATCACCACAAGAGTATTCATACTGGAGAGAAGCCCTTCAAATGTAAAGAGTGTGGCAAGAGTTTCAGTCAAAAATCATCACTTACTCAGCACCAGCGAATCCACACTGGAGAGAAGCCCTACAAATGTAAAGAATGTGGCAAAAGTTTTAATAGAAACTCACATCTTGATTGCCACAACAGGATTCATACTGGAGAGAAGCCCTACAAATGTAGAGTGTGTGGCAAGAGTTTCAGTCAAAAATCATCAGTTACTCAGCACCAGCGAATCCACACTGGAGAGAAGCCCTACAAATGTAATGTGTGTGGCAAGAGTTTCAGTCAAAAATCATCACTTACTCAGCACCAGCGAATCCACACTGGAGAGAAGCCCTACAAATGTAAAGAATGTGGCAAAGCTTTTAATACCATCTCACAGCGTAATTGGCACAAAAGTATTCATACTGGAGAGAAGCCCTACAAATGTAAAGTGTGTGACAAGAGTTTTTATACAAACTCAGAGCTCAATCGCCACAACAGGATTCATACTGGAGAGAAGCCCTACAAATGTAAAGTGTGTGGCAAGACTTTCTGTCAAAAATCATCACTTACTCAGCACCAGCGAATCCACACTGGAGAGAAGCCCTACAAATGTAAAGAATGTGGCAAAACGTTTAATCAAAAAATATTTCTTACTCAGCACCAGAGAATCCACACTGGAGAGAAGCCCTACAAATGTAGAGAATGTGGCAAAGATTTTAATCAACAATCCTCACTTACCCGACACCAGAGAACCCATACTAGAGAGAAGTTCAATAAAGGTGAAGAATGGCAAAGCTTTTCTAATTGAAGGTCACATCTTACTAAACATTATAGATTTTTTACTGCAGAGAAGTTTTACAAGTGAAAACATTGCATCAGTGTCTTTAAGGATGAATCAACCCTTATTTCACAGTAGTTCAACACTATTTCACACCAGAGATATGAGAGCACAGAAATTATACAAGTGTAAAATAGGTGACAGTCTCTCCAACAGTTGTTCACACCTACTCAGCACCTCAGAATTCATACGAGTGAGAGGACATGTGGGAAAAGTTTTGCAAAACTTTTGGCCATTGATCAAACATTTTTAAAACACTGGAGGATTATAGCTTATAGAAACCCAAAGAATGTGTCCAAGACTGTATTCAAATTTCAGACATTTTTCAATTTCTGACCGGATATCTGTAGCAAGTGTGCAATAGCATTTGTCCAAAGTATGTACCTTAGATAACAGCAAAATATTTACAAAAACACCTTGACAAATATAAAGATTGTAGTAAGTTTCTTATCTAGAGCCCATCCCTTGAAGTATTTGGGACCTAGGAGGGGAAAAAATCATTTAAATGTAGAAAATGGGTAATTGCTTTTGACATTTGCTGAAAACTTTCTTAACATCTTTAACTGATATTGTAGAAGTAAGGAAATACAAATATAGAATAGTGCATCCCTAAAAGGATATAATTTTACTGTAAATCAACAATTACTAAAGAGTCTCATTTTTCACAACTGGAGAAATAACAATTCTCAGAGTCGATTATTTCAGAAGTCTCTTATGATTTATATGAAATTTTAAATTTTTAGTTTTTATGTTTGTACATAAACTTAGGGGCACTTAATCAGTAAACCACATCCCCAGATATTTTTTTTCCATTTTTTTTTTAGAGATAGGTTTTGCTAAGTTGTATAGGGCCTCACTAAGTTATGGAGCCTGACTTTGAACTTGCAAAGCTTCTCACGTCCCTAGGGTCACAGCATGGTTCACCATGCCCGTTTTACAGAGCATTTTTACTTATATTTCATTACAGATGCAATTTGTTACTAAATAAAGTGAATTTCTTAATGTAAACCTTGTCATGCATTTAATGATGTTATTAGGTCACACATCTCCCACTATTCACTTTGCTAATGGATTGATGCAATAGTAAAACATTCTATTGAGTAAATAGTGCTATAAAGTCTCCATTAATGATTTCATATGTTTAATCAAGTATTATTTGGAGAATATTATTTATGTAAATTATATACTCTCTTGTTTGTAATTATGGGAAAATTAAGAGAGTTACAGGAAGGACCTATGGATACTAAAATAATGCCCAGATATCCCTAGTTTGAATTATGAGTTTAATATTTCACCTTATAGAGTAGCAGTACACCCTAAGGGATCTACAACTCCAGAGATTTATACAAGCTCCCAATCAGGGAGAGGAGAAAGACCCAAGAGACTAGGAGCCAACGTGCGTATTCAGGCAATAAAGGAGGGTTGCTGAAGGGGGAAGTAGTCTTAATGTTTCCTGGGGAATCCACATGGTCCATAGGCCCATCCTGACTCTTGGACTGAAGAAATCATGCAGTTCCTCATGAATTCTATGACGTTCATCTCTGAGGTGACTATACTCACCTCTAGTGTAGGAAAAACATCACAATTTGGTACACATCCATTGATTTACATATTGCCATACTAGTGTCTGTGTAACTGATGTGATTCTGCATTCTGTATTCGGGGTAAAAATGGGAGTTCATAACCCACTTGAATCAAAGTGTGAAATATGATATATCAAGAACTATGTAATGTTTTGAACAACCAACAATAAAAATTAAAAAAAAAGACTAGGTTAAGCAACATAGTAAGACCCCATCTTCAGAACAGAAATAAAACTATTTTTTCCCTTATGAAAAAAAAAACACATCACAATTTGGCACCACTTCTTTAGTTTTGGATACCCAGTAGGAAAGTGTAACTAGAAACATGTAAAATGATGACTGTAAAAAGAAAAAGACATACTATAGGAGCATTTATGCCCCCACATTTTTTATTTCATTATATATTTTGATTTTGTAGACCTTTTGGTTCTACTTACTAACTTACAATATAACGTTTGTTATATTTATTGGATTATATGATAAATAGTATGTGTCATGGTCTCCCAGACCCCTGTGAAACCCAGTAATTATAAGATACTATAAACTAACTCTGTCCCTCCTCAGATCTTAAAGCTCCAAGAGCCCATGACACCACAGAGAGAGAAACACAATTTGGATTGAAATAAACCTCTAGACTCTCATCTACAAGTCCTGTTCAAAAAGTGAAAACACAATATTCTCTTCATATGTGAGCCTTTGGGGTCAACAAAACACCACCCACAAACATTTCATTTAACTTGATTTGGGAAAATAAATATTGAAATATAATAAGTTCTAGGAGAATAATATTCATACCATTCTTTATTCCAAAGGGTAAATATCTAGGTTTCATGCTTATCGCCACATTATTTTATGCAGAAAACTGGCTTCATTTTACATATGAGAGTTTCAACTATTTATAAGGCCAGGAGGGAAAATTCAGTTCTATAAGTCTAAGGAAAATACTAAAGATCTTCCCTTTTCTTGATTGAATAATGTCTGCAATCCTTGATGAAACAGCTAAAGAATGCTGATTTCTCAATGCATCTGGCTGGGTGGCTCACTCATTGGAACCACAATTTACTTAGTCATCTCAAGGCTATCACTCCCTCCTCTAGGGTCTGACCTGTTCTTGGGAGGACTTGGTGTTCTTCAGGGGATCACCAGGTCATGCAAGATGTTAGAATGAAGTTTTCTTTGTTCTAACTTGTATTTATTAGGCCTCACTTTCAATACAAGGTAGAACAAGACTTCAGACTCTCACCTGTGGAGAGGATGCTCTGCCCAGGACTTCCCAGTCAGGACCCTGAAAAGCTCTTTGGGACTCCCCAGTACATAGGTTCAGTGGTTGGGTTTTCCTATTCTGGCAATACAGTTGCCTATGTCTTTCACTTTTGCTTTCTCTCTTACTTTCATAGTATTACTCAAGGAAACACTGTCTCGTGTGAAGAGAATGTCTTCCTTATCTATTGGATCTGACCTGCCAAGTTGAGCAGCTGCCCACACACTGAATGTCACAAACACATGTATGTGTTATCTAATCAGTAAGTAGTGTATCTTTCAACTACATGATTTTTTATTGCATGGGGGTGGAAATTGAGAATGCTTTGAGTGCACACAGCACTATTAATAGTATTCATAACACTGCTATGTAATGTTTCCTCTCTGCTCAACTTGTAAGTATTGTTCTCATGCTGCTTTGTAAAACAAATAGAAAAGAGTTTTAAACCAAAAAGTTTGTGATAATTGATAGTTGCACAAACTGCCTTGGGCAACTCTATTTATCATTGTTGTTTTGTATGGGCTCAAGGTACTCTTTTATACTTTTATTTAACCTTAATGACATTACCATTCATTGAAGAGTTTTTAAATCACATTCTTGGTATACAAATTTTCCCTTGTCATTTTTAAAATTTCTTACTCTCTTTAGGTATACATGATAGTAGAGCAAATTTTGACATATTATACACGGAGTAATACTCATTTTAATTAGCATTCCATTCTTGAGGTGTACATGGTGTGGACCTTCCCTGGTGGTGTATTTATATATAAACATTGAAAAGTTGTGTCTGATTCATTCTACTGTCATTTGTATTCCTGTTTCCCTTTTCTTCCCTTCAATCCAACTTTGTCTAATCCACTGAATTTCTATTGTCTCCCCCTCCCTTATTGAGTGCTTTAGCATCCATATATATTATGTATTATATGTAATGTCTGTTTAATCCTACTATCATTTCTATCCCCATATTCCCTCCCCTCCCTGCACTCCTCTCTACTTAATCTAAATAACTATTCTTCCCCACCCCCATTGTGAATTAGCATACACTTATTGGAGAGAACATTTGGCCTTTGTGTTTGTGTGTGTGTGTGTGTGTGTGTGTGTGTGTGTGTGTGGCTTATTTCACTTAGCATGATATTCTTCAACTCTATCCTTTTACCACCAAATGGCATAGTTTCATTCATCTTTAAAGCTAAGTAATATTCCATTGGTGGGGGAAATTATATATATATATATAATCACATTTTATTTATCCATTCATCTGTTGAAGGAAACATAGGAGGGTTCTATGGTTTATCTATTGTGAATTGTGCTGCTATAAACATTGGTGCGGCTGTGTCCCTGTAGTATGCTTTTTAAAATTCCTTTAGGTATAGTCCGAAGAGAGGGATAGCTGGGTCAAATGATGGTTCCATTCTGGTTTTTCAAGGCGTCTCCATACTGCTTTCCATGGTGGTTGCACCAATTTGGAGTCAATCTCATGAGCAATGTGTGAGTGTTCCTTTTTACCCACAACCTCACCAATATTTATTGTTGCCTGTATTATTAATGATTGCCATTCTGACTGAAGTGAGATAAAATCTTAAAGTAAATTTGATTTACATTTTCCTAATTGCTAGATGGGTGGAATGTTTTTTCATATCTTTGTTAATGGCTTATATTTCTTCTGTGAAGTTATCTGTTCAGTTACTGAGTCCATTTGTTAATAGGTTTTTTTGTTGTTGTTTGTGTTAATTTTGAGTTCTTTATATACCCCAGACATTAATGCTTTTTCTGAATTACGTGTGGTAAAGATTTGTATAAAATCTGTAGGTTCTTTCTTCACATTATTGTTTGTTTTGCTAGAAGCAGCTTTTTAGTTTGAATCTATCCCCTTTAATTATTCTTGATTTTTAATTTTTGTGCTGTAGGAGTCTTGTTATGGAAGTCAGATTGTGGACCAACATTCACCTCAGATTTTTAAATGACATCCCAAGTTCATGAATGTTTCAATTTTATTGTTTCTCTTACTATCTTGCCTTATAGATCTACATGTTCTAAAGAGTCATGAAATGATCTAGCTTCACATACATGATTTTCTGATGACTGT